AAATAAACATTTGAAATATATGAGTTTGTATGTAATGTATGAATATAATATACAGGTTTCACTTTTTAAATGGAATTACTGAAATAAATCTACTTTTTCATGATATTCTAATTTTATGACCAGCACCTGTATGTACAGAACATTTCTGCTTGTGTCATCGCTGCCATGTCTGTCCTGAGCCAGCAGAGGGCACTGTAGGACTGCAGCTGCTGGGTTTCATCTCAGTCTAAGGCTGCTGCAGCCACAAAGAACAAATTCACATCTTTGCAGAAAAAAGCCTCGGGTTATGGGTCATGAAGCTTTATTTCCTTCAGTTGATAAGACATAACCAGCAAGTATGGGGGCCAGAAATTGACTTCGGGACTTTTTTATTTTTCCTATGAGTGGTGCTAGTTGTGAAGTGGCAGGTCAGTTGCAGTAGCCCTCCAGGTGGTGAACGCTGCATGGCGTATGGCAGCACTGCTCCACGATGCCTCTTTTCACCTTGGGCTCGTCTCTTCCTGACGGAAGCCTCCACTGTCGCGCTTCCTGTCTGACCCTTTTAGACAGGAACCCTTTGAAGTGGGGAAAAATGTCCAAACCCATGTTAATCCTGCTGCAAATATGCAAACTTCCTGAAAATACCATCCAGACTTTTATATATATATATATATATATTCATAAAATGAAATACAATAATAAAGGTCTAACATTCCTGGAATGATTACATATATGCTGGCTTGCTTGTTGATGAGAAGGAACAGATTGTAGCCATTTTGGTCAAACCTTGTAAGTGAAGTTGTGCAAAATCTTGAGATGCATTCACTCTCAGCTACCACACCAAACTTCAGCTCCACTTCTGTAAAATTTGCCAAAGAATGTTTGTTTTGGTTTATGTTCATTAAATGCAGCAAAAAGTTTCTTTAGGTTGGCATTAAAGTTTACCAGTTGTAGTTGTCCATCTATCGATTTGAGCTTTTTATTACAATCTGCTCAGTAGCTCATCAGACGTGTTCTTTGTTTTAATGACAGACAAATGAACACACACAGACAGGAGGAACATCACTTAGAAAGTACAACTAGTGCTTTTAGTCTTGTTGGCTTTGTGCTCCTGGAGCTGTGATATGGTGCGACTCCAGCAGAGGTAGCATCACTTACACCCCGGTGTTAGCTTCAAAACCGCAGTAGAACGTTTGAGGTGCATGATTTAAATAATGCGTTTCGGGAATAACTTAATGAGGAATGCAGGGATTTTGGCAGCATTCGGGATGAATGGATCTTTGTCGCATTGTAAAAGATTAAAGCAAGGAAAAGAAAACTAATATACGCTCTGAATAAAAGAGGCTGGGAAAAAGGAATCTGCACACTAATAATGAGTTGGGCCAGTGTTTCAATTTAGTTTAGCAGAATCTCTCTGYGCATTGTTGCTTTGAAACATTTCAGCCAGCAAATTTGGTTGTATCTTTATTTCTTACTCTACTTTGAAAATGCTGAACTGGTAGCGGGGAGGAAAAAGCCATGCTGKGGTCTCGAGGCAACATCATGTTGTTAGTTTCTAAACTCCCACTGTCAAGAAGGCATTTATTTTTGTACAGATCAGGAAATAAGCAACTGTAACTTCAATTCTGAAAAAGTTAAGTGTAAAATGTAAATATACATTAATTTTCACAGTAAAACAGCATGTCTGGATGGGAGCATATGATGTTGTAAAACAGTGGTTCCCAAACTTTATCTTCTGACCCACAAAATCTCCATGGCAAAAACTTGTGACCCAAAATATTACTGGTCTGAGTACACAAACTTTGTCAATAACCCTAAAAACAAAGGCTACACAAATATAAATACTTATTTATACTTATTTTGTGTTTTTGTAATAATTATAGGGAAAATATTACATCACCAATTATTTTATTATACTTTAAATTGATTTCTGAAGTGCAGTGG